GCAGAAGCAAGAGAAATGAGGGCTACCCACACATCGTTTATGACATGACATCAGCATGTGGTTGAATTCCCCTTTAAACATAGTGGGAAAAAATTTGGAGCATCAGAAGACAATCCATAGTCTATCTTCCCACCACTCTATTTGCATTCACTTCACACTGGAGAGTGAGGTTTAGACAACACTAAGGTAACTAGTCCATAATAATGCCAATTTGTGACAGGTCTTCTCCTTGTTCACCCACCTCATAAACAAGATTAATGCCTTCTTGGAAAGCAGGAAATTAGTTCCTAGTGGTACACTCCTCGCTGATGTAGCAACAGTGCTCAGGAAGATTATAAAGATCTAATTAATACTCGTCTGAGAGAAGAAATTTCAAATATTCTCTAGCTAATGCTAGAGTGATACTAGAATTAAGGGGAAAGTAGCACTTCAATACAAGAGCCTGACATACTGGGGGGATATACTGTAATTTGCAGTAAAAGAGAAGGAATACTGGTTGAGAAAGATATGCACATTAAACCTACCATTTATCATTGTCTACTACTCCCAGTATTAGCGGCTACATCACAACCCCAAGACAGCAGAGTGTAGCAGCCAGGGTTTGTGCTGAGACTATTGGCAGTTTGGGAGCAGAAAGTGAGTCATCAAGCACCCAAAAGGAGTATATTAATGCCTCTGAAATGGTCAGAGCAAACCTATGTGAACATACTTTGCCTCTTAGGATGACCCTCTGAGCTACTGGGATGAGAAGAAGAGTATGTGGCCTGCTCTGTGTCTAGTTTCCCAGTAGCTATTGTCATGTCTACCGACCACTTTCCAAAGTGAGTAAGAATTGTTTGAATACAGAATATTCTAAATCCTCAAAATTTGCAAATGTCCTCACAATTTATGGAGCAAATAGCCTTCTTCAAGTCAAATCTCCCCAAGTCTCCCCACTATCACTGTTATAGTTGAGGCTTTACCATCTGCTAGCTGAGATCAAACTGACCACTTACTTCTTCTATCAAAGTTGTTTAAAAATTTGGAAAGCATTGTAAAATCTGTCAATGAATAAAAGAAAAATTAAATTTCTCCTGCTGCTGGTCCATCTCCCCCCTTCAAATACATTTTATTGTAATAAAACAAAAACTACTTGACTGACACTTTGGTGCCTTTGACTGCCGACTCAGGACTGTTGGGAGAAGCGGTTTTTCCACAATGAAGGATGGTCACTGACACTACAAACTGGATGTGTGGGTTAGCTTTGTTCATGTCAGGATGGAATGGGTGAATGTGTGGTCATTTGTCCACTGATTTTTTTAGTTCATTTTGAATAAATTCCTTTTTTCTATATAAAATGAAACATGCTCCCCATTTTCATTAATGCAAGATAGCAAAAAATCTCTTACTTCCTATTTTCTTTTTAAATCCAGATGTATAATAATCTAATTTTGGCACCTCAGAAATTGCATTTGCAAAAATGCCTGATCTTGTATAGCCTTTAGGCCAGACAATAGCGTAGCAGTTTTTGCATGTTAAAGTCACAGGCAGCATTTTGCCTTTGCTTTGTTTTGCTTCCTGAATTGGTTCCCCAAATTTTTCAGTACTAAAAGTTTGCTGAGGCAAAACTAAATTCTACCATTCCAAAAAAAAATGGCTGAACTGGTTCAGAAGAACAACATTTTTTCCACCATATACAAAGCTACCATTCATTATTTACAAATTAACAAATCATGTAGCAACAAATTTTCACAGTACATTGATTCCAAGAAATAGAACCTATAGAAAAAGGTAGCCAATGGGAAGCCCACTGGCTCTTTTCAAACTACAACTCCCATCATGCTTAGCTAGCCTATATACATATAGGGTTATTCACTGAAGTAAAGTAAAGGAATTCAAGTGAATCTCCAATTTAAGGCCAAAGTATTCTGGTTTGCAGAATCTTTCCAGTTAGGCTACTTTAGCCTCAAATTCACTTTGAATTCCTAACAATTCTTACTTTAATGAATAGCTCTGCTGCAGCTTGAGGGCAACCACTTTTCTATCCCTTGTCACAGGCTGAAAATGCATCATGGGAGTTGTAGTTTGATAATATCGGAAAAGCTACCTTTTCCCTATTCTAAACACATACACACATGTATTAAGTATATTGATGCGACACCCTTCAGTGCTTACTGGTAACTTCATTTTAGATGTGCAGTACTTACCTTAATACAAATATTTAGAAAATAAGTTTGATTTTCTATCAACTTTGGTAAAGAAACGTATAAAGTGGTTTAGTGACATTGTCTATGTTTGGCCTGCATTCTTAAGGAGTTTCTGTGGTATTTCTAATGCAAAATTTAGCAATAGATTTAGCAGTGGGTGCCATAGCTTTTGGCCTAGTGGTGGCTGAAGACTGTAGACAATTAGAGCTATTTACTAAGCCACGAATTGTGATGAACTGTTAACCTACTTAGAAAGAGTGTTTCTGTTAACAATTAAACATAGCGTATTAACAATTAAACATAGTACTGAATGCACATTTTCTGTTTTTCCTTATTATTATTATAATTAGCAAATTAGCCAAACTAGCTGGGCTTTTGGAGATTTGGAGATTATTTTTAACAGCTTTTATATATCTGATCTAGCATTTACAGTTTCCTTCTTATATGCTGTCTGCATTTAATGGAATAATAATTAATAAATCAGAAATTACATATCCTGTTGTTTGTATTGGCATTGTATTTTGCTTAGTTATTTAAAGCTTGTTTAATTTAGCACTGGAATTATACTTAAAGTATGAGACCACATTAATTACAATTGTATGCCTTTCACTACCCACATGTTAGTTGCAGAGATCTTTCACACTGAGACCTAAACAGACCCAGAATTCTTAGCTACTTTGGATAAGAGCTCACACCTCACTCAATTAGTCTTTAATTGACTAAATGATAAAGTTACATTTCACAAAATAGACTGCTGGAAGTTTTCATTCTAAGCCTGTTAGATAGTCTACAGTAAGAGAATTGTAGATTGTTTAGCAGTGAATTCAATAAGTATACAGTAGCTTAGAACGTCTTGCTGCATCCAAAACCCCACAAGGATATAAGAGATCAGTGTGGTTTCACATTTTATCCCAGATACATCTGAAACTGATTTACTGGCAATAAACTGCAAGACCTCCTAGAAGGATTTGGTTAAAACTGGTACCAAATAGCATACCCGTTAGATAATGTGGGAAAGACCAAAAACATTTTGCAAAATAGGTTAACATTAAAAGGAGACAGTAGTATTTTTTTTTTTTTAAAGAAAATGCTTGTCCAATTTAAGCAGTTGATTTTTTTTTTTATACAAACAAATACAACTGAAATTATATAAATCATCAAATGATGTTTACTGTATATAGTATTATGGTTTAGTGATATGAAACAAGCATGAGCCAATGAAGTTCAACCCAACTTTAACCCCTTAAGGACCAAGAATAAAGAATGCATTCCAATCTCAGAGAATTGAGGGCGATATTGAGGGCGATAATGAGGGCCTTTCTAGAGTAAAAGGGAATCATGACATGTCACACATGTCATGTGTCCTTAAGGGGTTAATCCAGAAAATAACAATGTCAACTTATTTAGTCCTAGCCTGTCAAATTAGTCCTTTGATTAAACTATACTTTATAAAACAGTTTACCTACAAATGCTATGTAATACCCAAAATGTACTAATATTGTTGTAAAAAAATTTTTTCAAAAAAATAAACTTTCGTTTTTTTCAAATGTACCACTAATTTTACCATAAAAGGTTTACTCAACCTGTAGCATGAGATGTTTCCAGGAAAATGTTTATATTAGATCCTGTCTAAGTATTAATGCTGTTAAGCTTCCAGTGTCCGAAAAATTTAATTTAACCCGTTAAGGACACATGACATGTGCGATATGTCATGATTCCCTTTTATTCCAGAAGTTTGGTCCTTAAGGGGTTAAAAGTGCATATGATTATACTTTGCTTTGCTCCATTTTTTGTGTTCTGCTGAACTATTTTTTCCAATTAACTTTTACCAATTGTGTATGTCCAAATTATACTGCTTAATCCCTCCAATATCAAAATTAAGTTTAAACATTTTTTTATAGCATATTTTGCAGTATGAAATCTAGCACATAAAGCCTCACTCATCATTAATAATATTTTAGCTATGATTTTCAACTAGGAGAGAAACAAATTTCTCTGCCATAAACCACTAGTTGCAGATATAATAGATGTAAATTTGCTGAAAATGTAAGCTCACCGCCTACTTTCAAACAGTACAGGAAGTTTCAATAGGTGATAGGATTCCTATAGCCAGGGAGGGGGAAAGAATAGCCATTTTTCAGTAAGCTGTACTGCTAGTAATGCCCTTAGGGTCCTTGCAAATATCTATAAGCAAGGTATTTTTATTTATCTTGTTTGTCGCATCTACTGTATGTGATAAAAATTGCATTATGTGTATGTGGAGCTCGGTTCCGGAGGCGCGGTCTCCGACTCTAATGGCCGCCTAACTTAACTACTCCACTCTAAAAGCTATCTTAGGCGCATTAACCATATGCAAACGAGACTACATGGGACCAATGGGTCGGACCAGACGGGACAATAATCACGAGACATTGAGAGGTAACCCTGGTAGCTTGAGCATGTTTCAAGCAGGTCCTTTAGACGAATACCTGCAGATGCCGACTAGACCTCAAAGAGAGGTGCAAGATTCAAAGATGCAGGAGTCAGGACTTCTCACACCTGAATCGGATGTCAGCAGACTTACCCTCTCCGATATCAGTGCAGGCACTGACAGCAGCTATGGTCACCAAATCAGACCTACAAGTACTATCGAATGATCTACATGCTGCAATCAGATACAAAATAACTTCCTTACACAAAGAGGTGACGGCACATGATGACTGCATACATAAGCTTGAAAATACATTGCCTGCATTAACGATCCAATCAACAGCGAGGGATGTAGCCCTCACTAGGCAAGATAACATGCTTTTGGTACTAAGGAGACAAACTGAGGATCTGGATAACAGAGGACCAAGAAGGGCAAGGGTCAGAAGACATTGAAAACTCTCTAATAGCATTATTTATGGAGATCCTTGGGGATGAAGCACCAACAAAATTTGATTTTGATCGGGCACATAGAGCAATCCGTCCACGAGTCACAGAGGTTCCCCGAGAGATATTATCTGTTGTCTTCATTCCTTTAAGATTAAAGAGAATAATATGCAGAAAGCATGCACTTAAACCCATATGGCAATTCCGTGGCTCACAGGTGACCCTATTCCAGAACCTCTCCCCTTTGACACTAGAAGCTAGACGAGCCCTTTGGCTGGTGACCACTCTACTAAGCGAGAGGAGCATCCCGTACAAATGGAGTTTTCCCTTTTGTTTGCTGGCCAGTTGTCAGAATGAGTGGATATCCATTAGATGGCCAGATGAGGTTTCACAGTTTCTCCAATGTTTGGGATTACCCCCAACCTGGTAACGGATTGGGTGCGGGAACCCTTAATACAAGGGAAAAGACCGCAGCCACAAAGAAGCCAAGTGAATCGTAGAGGGACTCCCTTGGTCTCGACGACAACAATGACCTTTAGATCAAGAAAAATAAAAAATAATGCATCCACTAAAATGAAAGCTCCTGTCTGAGTACATTGGAGATGAAAATCTACTATTGGGTGAGAAACCAGAACTTTAATATTAGTAAGCAGATGTATTTTTATGTTATTGATTTGTTACTCATGATTTCGAGGAACTATTTATGGCTAATTAACTAATGATAATACTTAAAGGCTATTACATTTTTGGGTGGAAGTAACATCACCTGCTTTTTGAGAGGGAGGTCTGGGGGGATACCAAAGCACAGCCACTGCATTCTCTTTGTATCCATCTTATATCTATATACATATCTGTGTAGATCAATTGAGTACAGAGGAATAATGATGTTATAATGAGACCATTATGTAACTGCTAAAGTTATGATTACTGCATTATGATAGATGAATTGTAACAAAGAAATTAGTATGTAGTCCTGAACCCTTCCAGTAATATATATTTTCTCACTAGCTATTTCACTGACAATAAATAAATAATAAAAATGGATAGAAAGGGGATGGGGAGGGAGAAAAAAAGGGTAGGGAGAAGAGAAAAAAGGGGGAACGAATGTGGGAGGAAAGAAGGATTGGGAGAGAAAATGTGAAGGGGAATAAAGGGGAGGGAAGAGGGGAAGATAAAGGGAAAAGAAAAGAAAAAAAGGGAAAGGAAGTGAAAAGAGAAAAGAGAGACTGTGAATGCTGTTGATTATACACCCCTTTTTTTTCTTTGACTATTATGATTATGGGTTGATACCGTGGAAAGACGGAATTTGCTTTTATGTGGTGAAAATACAGATGTAGACACTAATTTGTTGATCTATTATAAATTTTTGATCTTTACAAATTTAGTTATAACTGCTTGATGATTAATAAGAAGATTTAGTGGGATTTAAATACCTTAACATATATTAAGAAGAAACCTCGGGCCCCTTTACTTACAAACTATTATGTACCCAGTTTACGTTCTCATTTATCAAAAAGCAAAGGCCAGAGCGTGTTTGGTATTAGTATTCCTGTTTTTTGATCTATCCCTGACCCTTTGGCTTTGTCTTCTCGTTTATGCTCCTGTCTGTGTCCCTGACTTCGGCTTGATTCTGACTATTCTTTTTATGTTAAATCTGACCATTCTAAGGCCCGGTAATACATTTTTCTAGTTGACTTGATTCTGTGTGTTGGGCCACAGCCCCCTCCTAATGGTCGGCTTTTCTTTTCTGTCTTAGTTTTTTTTTTTTTTTATAGAGCGTGGGGCTGGCTGCTCCCTGTACCACCACCCCCCATAAAACTGTGGTGGGTCACTGTCTAGGAAACCCGTTTCAGCTCTCCAATATTTTCATTTATTTTTTTTATTTTTTTATATTTTTTCTTCTTTTGAAGGCCCACGGACATCGTCCTTGATAAATTCCTCTTGAGTACGCTGGATAGCGGATTTATATATAATAGAGTGGGTGTCATCCTAACATCACTTATTAACTCAAGATGTCATATGCCCCAGTACCTTGGAACATCATTTCACAGAACTGTAGGGGTCTGAATATCCCCAAAAGATGCTCTCAATTATTAAGGGAACTTAAACGCCAGCATCTAATGATTGCGCTTCTCCAGGAAACTCATTTTTGCTAAGGTGCAATGCTGAAGCTGAAAGATAGGTTTTACCCCACTAATTATTTCAGTAACCATCCAACGGCCTGTAAGGCAGGGGTTGCTATCTTGATTGAAGTGAGGTCACAGTTCTCTGTTTTGGCCACTGAGGTAGATCCAGAGGACAGGTATCTATTTTTGAAGGGTAGGATAGCTGAGAGAACTTACACATTTGCCTCCATATATGTTCCAAATAATAATCCAGTGAGGTTTCTTCGTAAGACATTGCTTGCTTTATCATAATTTACCAAAGGCGCCATGATCTTGGGTGGAGATCTCAATGTTCCACTAAATCCAATAGCAGACTCATCTACAGGACACAGTAGCATACCCCAAGCAGCTTGTATTGCTAGGAATTTGAAAAAGCAAGAGAACCCTAATTGGTGCAAAATATTGAATCAAATAAATTTCACGCCAGTGCATTATGGAGAGGGGATTTTACCTAAAGAATAATCAGAATAATAAGTTGAACCTATACGCTAAAATCTGGAACAAATGGGAAACATATAACGATACATGACTTGGGTAGTTATAATTGTTGACCATTAAGGAACATTTAAAGGATCACTATATTGTTAGGAAAACAAAGCAGTTTTCCTGACACTATAGTGCCCTGAGGGTGCCCCCACCCTCAAGGCCCCCCTCCCGTGGTGCTGAAGGGGTTAAAGCCCCTTCAGCAGCTTACCTTAATCCAGCGCCGGGCTCCCGCTGTGCTGGTGACCTCTCCTCCCCCTCCAACATCAGCTCCCCTGTTGAATGTTTAGTTGAGATTAGTTAAAGATTAGATAAATCTATATTTGAATAAATTAAAGGTAAAAAAAATAATAATAATTAAAACTTTTAGTAAATTTGTAATGACGAATTAAGCAACTGAGAAATAAATGATGAAAAAGGTATGTCTTGATACATAGCTGGAGTTTGGACTTTTATACTTGGACTTTCCATCATTTAGCTTATGTGCTTTTGAGAAGTCTAAATATTGTTTTTATTATTATTTTTTTATCTCTACAATAAATTGTTATTTTTTTATATATTAGTCCATATAGTCCTTTCTAGCCTCCAGGAACACCATGTGGGGAATGCTATCCCAATAAATTAGCACATTGCCAACAAACCTCAGAGCCAGGAATTCAAGGCTCTGTCTAAGGTGAGCATATCTATTACTATCTCACTATATTGTATACACCATCTGTACAATACCATCTATGAGGTTCTCTCTCTCTGTTTGTTCCATATCTTCGGGAGAATATCGTTTGGGATAAAGGGGTGTGTTGCTGCCTCAAGAGCAAGAAGGAGTCACTTACGGAGCCAATAGCTTATAGGCTCCAACCCACGTGAGTGGTTTCAACCAATTGCTACCATTATTCATTTTTTATTTTTTTGTAAACCATCTGCACTATATTCTCTCTTTTTGTTGTTTTACTTTGTATGTACATTTGGACACATTGTATCACTATGTTGGAGGGGTGAGTATACCCCCTCATTATTTATATATATATTCAATATAGCGCTCCACTTGCTGGTATATTGTTTATACCTTTTTTTCTTGTATGTCTTGATACAAGTTTACTTCATACCAATCTGATATATTTCTCAAAAAAAAAAAAAAATGAAAGAAATATCCACAGATACTTGATGGAACTCAGTTTAGTTGATTGCTGGAGAGTCCTTAACCCAGAGACCTGTGACTATACATATTATTCTGCACTGCACCATAGGTATTCACGCATCGATTACATATTCACACACCTCCGGAAGGTGAACATCAGCTTCGTCTGTATGTCAAAGGAATCACCATTGTTATGGCCCACTAGAATTGCATGGAAACTCAATAAATCATTATTGACCGACCACACGATACTAGACCAAATCTCTTTACAATTAGAATTGTATTTTACCGAAAATGCCACTGATGGAATGTCGGAGGTGATGATGTGGGAAGCACACAAAGGAGTAATTAGGGGACACCTCATACAACTTGCAACTCATAAGAAAAAGGAATCTCAAGCACAAATTATAACAATAATAAATAATATTAATCGTCTGGAAACTCTCAATAAGAGTACGCAGTTAGAGAATACGTATAACAAATTAACTAACGCACAATAACAACTGACAAATATATTAAACCTCCAGCACCTTAACTCTCAACGACATTAAAAATTATTTTTTACATCTCTATGCCAATAAAGGTGCCAATAAAGGTGGCAAGTACCTGACCCACATACTACTGGGGCAAACAAACACCAGCACAGGTGCAGCAACTACGCACGGCAAAGGGCAAACTAACACAATGCCCAGAGGAAATCGCAGAAGAATTTCGGAAATTTTATGCCAATCTTTATAATATAGCATCGATCTCTCAAGATTTTTATTTTCACCATCGAACAAATTAGAAAGATTACAAGGCATTATTCATAATACATTAATACATTAACAAGGGAGTCGGTGCGCTCACTAGACGAACCTATAATGGAAAACGAAGTTAGGCAAGCTATAAAAACAACAAAAATATGAAAATCACCAGGTCCTGATGGGTTATCAGCTAGCTACTACAAAAAGCTTGGACTTATTCTTATACCAAAACTAACCAAAGCTTTAAATATACTCACAGCTGGAACATGTTTCAACAAGGAATCCTTAGCAGCAACCATCACTGTAATACTAAAACCCAGGAAGAATCCGGAAAATTGCAGGAATTATTGCCCGATCTCTTTGCTTAATCTTGGTGTAAAGCTTCTCTCAAAAATACTTGCATCATGGCTTCTATATTTTTTGACTAGATTGGTACATCCAGATCAGACAGGTAGGGAGGTTGAAAGATAGCACACTGCGAATGTTCTCATTGCAACATATAGCTAAAAGGTAAAGTAGGCGGCTCTTTTTGCTATCCACAGACTCCAAAAAGGCCTTCGATCGAGTAAACTGTCCCTTCGTG